GGCCCAGCCAGGACAAAAGGAGGTCCCACAAAGCGCCTACACCGGCCGCATTTGCGGTCGGGGTAGACGACGGATGGGGCCCTCCTACGAAGGCTGTCCAGGCCTACACGAGATGAGGCAGGATAAAGAGGGATAATCCCCCTCGATCCCAAATTATTGAGGCCAATTTCTAGCCATGGAATAATGGCGCGTGTTATTTTATCCCTACTCAGCTGGTTTTCCGGCAACAGATTAATATGAGGGTTGCTTTTTGAAATATGTACATCTGATTCTTTTAAACATTATCAGCGTTGTAAAATATTTCAAAACACGTAGCGTGGGACGGTCACACAAAGCAAATTCCTTTCTTAATTATTGCCACGCTTTATTAATAAAAAAGAAAGGTAGTGGTGTTTAATATTAAATTTTGATAATAAACTTGTTTACAAACTCCTGAAATTGCTACAAAAAGTGTAACAACCATATCACTTTCTATTAATCACCACTTTTTTTAGACGCCTGTGATTTTGTCACGTTCTCCGGTTGCTAAATGTGATGTAATTTATGACCAGCCGCACGTAAATTCCTGTTTCCCTAATACCGTACCTTAGTGCATTGGAATATCTTGATGATAAAAGATGATGAATACAAGATGTCGTCATAGTAAATAATCGAATGTTTACTGGTTTTTACGCGTTTTTATAATAACACTTTACAGAGGCAAAAAAGAACAGGAATATTAATAGGGTAAATGTGGAATAAACAACGACTTCGTGCGCTATATGCAGCAACTAGCATTTAATTATACCAGCAATATCTAGCAAACGGCCAGTGATAAATAATTATCCAAAACAAAAATTAAAAATATATCTAAGTATTATTGATACAAAAACTCATTAATTTTTCCCAAAATATTGACCATTTGGAACAGAGAAACGGTTGGATGGATCAACTTGCCTATTTACAGGCTTATTATTGAGATATAAAAAATTTTTCTTGATATAGGTCTTTTCATCAATAACACCACCACACAAAAAAATGTTGTCTGAAATGTACATGCGACATATGATTTCCGATGTATTTTCGCCCGCTGAACACGAATCCGGAGTCAGAATTGCTCCATCACCCTTCAATTTTCAGCAAAACGCTGAAGAATCTTCTGAAAAATGAAAATTTTCCTTTTTCAGAACTTTAGCGTTTCTGACTCCGGATTCGTGTTCAGCGGGCGAAAATATATCGAAAATCATATGTCGCATGTACATTTCACTTTTTTTGTGTGGTGGTGTAATTGTAGCGGCAGATTTTCTAAAAATTGTCATTTTTTCGCACTTCTTTCAAATTAATGCCATATAAATAAACTAATTAACTTTTCAAAACTGCCCTTGAATTTACTCTGTAATAATTTGTTGTTGAGATGTCGATGATTAAAGACAAAAGTGTGATTTTTCATTCAATATCTCGGTAACAAATAGTTGTATTGTACCGAGACCTTTCAAAATCAAAATCCAAATTGAAACAGACCACTACATTGAATCAGTACAAAAAAATCTTCCCGATTTCGTGGACAGTCCAAAAAAAATTTGAATTTCTTTTTCTCGAGATATTTCTTTTGATTCCTTGATAATCATAGCTCAAAAAAATTCGTAATCTTCTACTTAGAGACTTCAATCTTACGGTTTTTTTTTATCTCGACACCGCGATTTTTCACTGAGGTACACCCTTTCAAAAATCACAAAAAAAAATATGAAATATAAACCCGATATTACCAGAATATTAATTGTTTATATCTATTTGTTGTAGAGGGCTAGGTGGGACTTGAAAAAAAATGACCAAAAACTGGACTGTCCCGCGAAAATCAGGATAGTTGGCAAGCCTTTTAAATTTATGCAAGTAAAATTCTGACCTTGTTAATTTACAGGGTGTTGACTAAAGAGTGGGCCATACTGTAAGCTATGCTTCCTATAATAATCTTGCTTCCTGTCCAAAACTTACTGAAACTTACGTGATCTTTTAGCGAGAATAAATTTTTGTGAATTCGTGTTAAATAAAAAAAGACAGGATTTTTAAGTAAAATTCTATTCACTAATGAAGTAACATTTGCAGGAAGAGGAATTTTCAACTATAAAAATTGTCACACATGGTCCGAGGAAAATCCAAACTGTACGAGTGTGTCTCATTTTCAGCACGAATTTAAATTAAATGTTTGGTTCGGTATAATCGAAGATCATCTTTTGAACTTTCAGCAACATTGAATTCTCATGATTACTTAAACTTCCTCCAGCATAACTTATTCAATCTGCTAATAGTCCAGGCGGTATCTGTTTCGGGTTGGATAAAACACATATGATCGGAGTTTTTTGCTTTAACGGCCTCTAAATAACATCAGAAATGATAATTTTTCTATGCAAATAAAAAAAAACGTGGGCTCAATTGTTATTGCAAAAAAGTATTAAAAAATAGTAAAAAAAAATAATTTTTTTCTTGGATTTCTCGTTGACAACTTAGCAACTATTCATTTTAGACAAAAATGAAACAGGAAAAAAATTTGTAATTAAATTTTGAACAAGATAGAGTTAGTTGCAATTCGAAAAAATAATTATTGTTGTTGCAAACATCGGAAAAATTAATTAAAATATTGCAAAAGATGCTAGTTTATTTGTCAATTTTTTTCAGACACTTGAATAATACCTAGGATCTTCATACTTTTCCCAATTAAACTTCTTAGTGTATAAAATTATCACACCAAATTTCATCCAATTCGGTTCGATAGTTTTTACATAATAATTATTTGTTCTTTTTTTAATTAAAAAAAAATTCAAAATCAAATTCTAAAAATCTAGTCTTTGAATACTTGAAAATTTCACCACAAAAACAAGAGCTCTCAAGCTTTAAAATGGTTTTTGAAAAATTCAAATCGGACGATTAGGTGAGCCGTGGTGATTGTTTAAACATTTTCGCAATTTTCACGCTTATAAACAATTGCAATAATTTAATGTTTTTTTCAATTTTTTTTTTATTTTAAAATATGGTTTGAAAGTACTCGGAAAGACGAATATTTTAATTAAAAAAAAATAATTAAATAATTATTATGTAAAAACTATCGAATCGAATTGGATGAAAGTATGAAGATCCTAGGTACTATTCAAGTGTCTGAAAAAAATTGACAAATAAACTAGCATTATTTGCAATTTTTTCAATGATTTTTCCGATTTTTGCAACAACAATAATTATTTTTTCGAATTGCAACTAACTCATCTTGTTCAATATTTAATTACAAAACTTTTTTTCCTCTTCCATTTTTGTCTAAAACGAATAGTTGCTAAGTTGTCGACGAGAAATCGAAGATAAAAATAAATTTTTTTGCTATTTTTTTATACTTTTTTGCAATAACAATTAAGCCCACATTTTTTTTTATTTGCATAAAAAAATTAACATATCTGATGTAATTTAGAAGCCATTAAAGCAAAAATCTCCGATCATATGCGTTTTACCCAAGTATACCCTTTTTAAAACAGATACCGCCTGGACTATAAATGTTATTCATTTAAATATTAGAGCTAGATTGGGTACTTACAGAATGGCACCCCTTTCATTCTACTTTAGCAGTAAGAAATTATTTAAATAACTTGTTTCCCCATCAGCGAACGGGACGAGGGAGTGAACATCCATGGCCTCCACAAAGTCCAAATTTTAATCCTCTGGATTTCTATTTAATACGGGGATATATCAAAACTCTGGTTCATTCTGGCCCTACTGTTAATATAGTCTTTCCGATCTCAATTGAAGAACCAAGAGGTTGGCAGTATGTACCAGGTTCGGTCTGACATATTTCAAAAACTTGTTCCCATATTTATTTAGCCATACCCGTATACAGGTTTGGTCGAACTAAACGTGGAAATGGTAGACATGTATACACCCAGTTGAAAAATGCGCGCGCAGACAAACGGCGTGTAACAGAGCCGCACTGACCGACTGGGCAATAAATCTTAGTTGTTGACAAGTGCTTGACAAATTGCCTAGTGCAAAATGCGGAATTTGGTGTGATTCAGGTAATCTTAATTTATTATAGGCACCTTCTATTAATCATTCATATTACAATTGTGAAATGCAGAAATAAGAGGGACATTTTGTTTACTAATATTATTAAAACATGGCATTTTGGAGACCTTTTGAAACGCAACAAAACGAAATTTACCATCAAAATAACCCAAATAATAAATAAATTATCGTAAAACTACCTTCTCGGACAGTAACTTGATTTAAATCACCTTATTTTTTTCCAAGCCTTCCTAGCCTTAAAGTATGGCCCATTATTTAGTAAACGTAAGCACTAGAAATGGGCCACTGAAATTATAACTAGTTGATTTTTTTAAAAATCTGTAGTTGGCAAGTTAAAGTTACTAAAAAAATAATAAGTACAAATGATAATTGCTGTAAATACATGTTGAAACAATTTCGGAATTTCCAGATATCAAGTATCTGCCTGTAAAGCCAAAAAATAAGTCTATAGTATAATTAATTATAATCATTAATATTACCACAACTTACAGTAAGTATATGCACATGTTCAAAAAAAACAAAAAACAGTCTGCAAGAGGTGGAAAATATTTCTGGGCAACTTCCCTTGGAAACGTTTCCAAGAAAGTATTCCCTGAGATTATTCACGGGAAACATTTGGCAACATTCCCGAAATATATTTTGGGAATATTTCCAAAAAAATATCTTCCCAGGAATTTCCCATCTCTAGTAAACACCCTGTATATCTAACGTAAAGTGCAACGATTTAATTTTTAAATTGTATTACTCTTCGGAAGTATCTTTTAGTCATATTTTCACAAGAAATGTCACTGAATTCGCCCGGGGAACACCCCGCATCTCGCCCGCCTTCTAGGAATGGGTCTACTAGAATTATAACAACAATAAGAACAATACTAATCTCCCGGTCGTTATCGCAAAGGTCGCTAATATCCACGTAAATCCGGATTGTTTTACCGTGAAATCTATTTCTGCGGTAATTAATTCAAATTTGGTCTACATGCCTTGCAGTTATGATTCACTTTTTATATTAAGTGAAAAATTACCGAACCAGACGTAGACGTCCTGTTATGTACCCTTGCGTTTTCGCTACTATTTGAAAGCGGCAGCTACTATTCATCACTCGTTTATCTGAGCGGTGATAATTTAATTTTAATCGAGGGATTTATCTTACAAGTGCGGTTAGTCGACAGATTTTTTTTTTAATATGTTTTATCAAATGGCAAAATATGCGGTTGTGCCTTTCGTGTGGTTGGTGTTTCAGAAAGCTAGCTGCGCTGTTATAAAAAACGATGGTCAAGAGGACCAATTATTGGCTGTTGTTACGGTAAGTACTTTTTTTTTTCGTCTGTAGGTGTTGGTTTTTGCGCTTCCTGATTCTTATTTGTATCAACTACAATTATTGTACTTCGTTAATTGTTGTAACCATATAAAGTAACATCATTTCATCAAAACAAATAAATATTGCAGGGTTAACATTTTGGAGTGTGAAACTGCAGTTATTTAGAATTTTAATGATTAATAATTATTATTAATTAACTATTAATTATTAATTAATTAATAATAATAATAACAATCAGTTCAGTAGAGTTTGGGGACGTGCAGTTTGTATCAAAACCGGACTCATTTTTCTATTGTAAATATAAGCGTCGTTCACATAAATAGACCGATCCAAATAACTCATTTAGAGGAAAAAAATTGTTACCTGGACTTTTATAAGTGGAAATGGTAAAGGGGCTTATAATAAACGAAAAAAAGAATAAAGGCAGGGGTGGCGGAGGGTTGATTTGGGGGGTTGAAAAGTTGTGAAAAATTGTATCGTTGGGATTTTTGGCGAAAGTTGACGTTAAACAAAAAAGTATCCAATATCAAAGTTGTAGATCATGCAAAAATCTACAACTTTTGTAGAGGTCACTTTTGAAGATAACATCAAAATTTCCGAGAAAAATGCGAAAAACATTTTTTTTTTAATTTTTCGTTTTTTATTTCTCATTTCCGAAAAAATAATGTAATTTTGATGAAACTTGGTGAAAGTATACCTTTCCGTGTCTTAAATAACCACAATTTTTTTTTAGATAAAAAAATGAGGAAGTTTCCGAGAGATTTATTTTTTCCGGTCTGAAACACTTTTTTTTCAAAGAAAAATTCTACTTAGAAAAATCATCGTACAGAGTTCTGGCGGTGATCATTTTTTTCGTTTTGACATATACTTTTTGGTGAAATAAAAAAATCTGTAATCACAGTTCAAAAACATGCTCGCTCAAAAATACAAAAAGAAAAATAAAAATTACTTGCAACAATCAGTGTTTCAGTAATTGTTGATAATTTGTGTAAATTTAAAAAAATTCAGAAACTGATTACACCATTTAATTGTGCGGAAAAAATACAAAAACAATTGTTTCATTGTTTGACCCAAAACTATTTTTGTACAGTAAAAACAATAATAATATAATTAATGATATTCAATTCAATGCTCTAATAATGTTTTATTGTAACGTGTGATGATAATAGTTTAAGTAATTAGGTGGATCTTACAGTGTCTAACAACACGTAGAATGTATGATAATTCAATAAACATAGAAATTTTAAAAAAATTAGATAAATTTGGAACGAATACATTGAAGATGAATTTTTCGAGACAAAACGTCTGAATCTGGTTCGGGTACAGTATTGGAGGTCATGAAGGCTTGCATAAAATGTAATAAAATTTCCAGAGTCATACGGTCATATTTACAAAAATGAAGTTAATGATGGTCCTGGAGAGATGAAACGTTACATACAGTGCTATTTTTTTAAAACCTGACATAAGCCAACTTTTTTATTTGAAGTTATATACTAGTACTTCCAAATGCAAAGCTGTAGGAAATAACTTGATTAAGAAAAATTTACCCCGATTTTTTTTAACATAATTTGACAAATCTTCATTCTAAATAAAAAATGTCATGTCACAAAAACAACGAAAATAATCTGCAGTCATATTCACGACTGCATATATTTTATATCTCAAATAACCCTCACTTGATCTTTTTGTTGGACACTTAATTTGATAAAAAAGTGTTTAATTTGTTTGTTAGAAAAAATTACGGTGTTCCAATTTAAAAAAAATATTGTTTAAGCATTATTTGTAAATTTTTTTAGTCGTTACTTCCTAAAATTTTGCATTTGGAAGTACTAGTCTATCATTTCAAATAAAAAAGTTAGCCTATGTCATGTTTTAAAAAATATTTCGAAAACTAATCATGTTAGCCTAGATGTTTTAGCCCCCATTTAAGCTACTTCGTATGTTTTACCGTTTCCAAGATCCCTGTAGTGAGAAGCGAATTTGTAACAGCCTGTAACATGTACGTAAATTTGTTTTAATCATCCAGTATGTGAAATTTTTACGATGGTTTAAACGATTGCAATTTCTTTACTGCACAAATTAAAAAATCATATTTAATAGAACATATGTCCTTGTTAATTCATTTATCTTTTAGTATGTTCAGTAATTTGTTTTTGTATGCTGCTGAATAACACGTCAAATAAATGGACTGAGCAGTCGATCGACCGCTATGAAGAACGTCTAATAAACAACCGAAATGAAAATTAGGGATTTGAACAGAGTACGACCCTGTTGCAAGCCGCGTGGCTTTGCTATTTTAGTTATCGAAACATTAGAAATATAATCATATCGAAGTTATTATAATGAAATTATAAGTGTGTAAAATTTTATCAACTTGTTTAATGCGATACTTCAAATAAGGTAACAAAATAAATCCCCTCCGAATTCTAGGTGTTATATACTTACCCATTGTAATTGTAGTTTTAAGTTCCAATACAATTTTATGAAATAGAAACTGATATGCATCTATTTCCACCGAAAATATACTGCAATATTTGACATTAAATTAATTTATGAATATTTATCTAATAACTAACTAACATTGATATTACGGCATATCCTTGTACATTTTTTTAAATATGCAAGGCATACATTATTCTCCATCCTGTTAACCTTGTTAATAGTTTATTTGTTTCATGCAAAATATAAAAAAGTATCCACCAGAGATAAATCTCATAAAGCAAACATCGATTACGATGAAATACATAAATTCATTTATACCTGTTCCCAATTTTGCTATTTCTAAATGAACTAAGACAATCATAAATTCAGATATGTTAAATATGAGGCCTAACATCACTTTAGTTGTTAGGATAGGCCTGATAATAACTATTTCCTATCACCGACATATACTAGGTATAGGCAAGGGAGCCACTATCTTCGTCAGAAATCTCGTCATAAATCACTATTACTATATGAAGCAAAAATTAACATGCAATTATAAATAAAAACTTAGACGTCATTGTTTTAGTAATCAAACATGAGTTGAGATATTTTTAAGGGCAAATTGGGGCATGTTAATTATGTTTCAGTTATTCAGACATGGAGATAGAGCACCAACCAAATCTTTCCCCAATGATCCGTACTTTAACGAGTCTTACTGGCCAATGGGACATGGACAGTTGACAGATGTAAGTAATAGTACATTTTAATTCTCGTGAGGAAACATAATTTTATACAGGGTATTAGAAGTTTGACTGCCTTAATTTTAACAGACGATAGAATATATTAAAATAAACAAAAAAACCTTATATGACATGGGTCCTAAACTCAACCATTTCCGAGAAAAAAATTAACTGTTTTCTGCGTACAGTGCCGGCCCTTTGAAAGTGGACGACTCTTATAAGCAAATTGTCTATAATTGGCCTTTGTGAAACTGACTTGAAAATATGAGGTTCAAATCGGCTGTCATTACTTATGTCATATTTAATGTGTGTCTATCATACTAGTTCTAGTGAGCAAAACAAATCCAAATTAGCCAAATTAGGTAGCAAATTATTTATTTTTCCAATACTGAAATATATTATATATTCTAACGGCCATTCATTCGCCGTAAACGAGATCTAAAAATGAAACACTTTTCGTCGTCAAAATAACGCGATTCGTAAAGTTTGTATTTTGTCCAAGCACCATTTTTGTCTATAACACTGCAATCTACATGGCATTGATAAAATTAACGTTCTTGTTATAATCCTCAGTGATGCTATCCCATGCGTTTTCAATTGCCTCCCAAAGTTCTTCGACGTTAACTGGTGGGAAGTTTCTGTCGTAAATTTTTTTCACCATATATCCCCAGGACTTTAAGGGCCAAGGTAAGACATCGATGTTGTTATCAATGAACCATTCTGACGCAACTCTTGAGGTGTGAATTGCACAATTATCCTGCTCAAAAGTGAAATTCTGAGGATACAGCATGGTCACAACAAACATCAGGACTTTGGCCGCTTATCCAAGCCCAAACGTTAATGGAGAATCTATCGCTGCGCTGTGTGGGTTTCACATAAGGCTCCGAATACCTCATAATCTCTGGTGGGTAGACACGGACAGAAGCATCGGAGCAAGACTGAAAACTTTTTCGTCCGAAAATATAATATTCTCCCACAAGTTGTCTGGGCTTCCTACAAATTGTCTTGCAAACTCTAACCTCTGTTTTTTATACTGGGGAGTCAAAGCAACTGTATTTGCGGCCACATAATTCTTCAGTTCCGAATCTTTCACCCGCTTCCTTGCAGTTCGCACTGATCCAGGAAAATTCGTCTCGAAGGAAGCCGCTACTGCCATGTCAACAGGATTTATTCTTAGGTGGTGCTTACTTTTCGAAGTCCACCTCCGTGAACATAACGTACGTGACCCTCCGCAATCCATTTTTCTTTGAGTTTAAATATGCTGTTCTTGCATACATGCAGATCATCCGCAATGACCAATCATTCTGAAGTAAAGTTATAGCTCTCACTTTCTCTGGTTCCGTTAAACGCGGCATCTTGAATTACCAAGCAAATTACTAATGACACTGACATATAAAAACTTGTCATAATAAGAAGTAGAGCACATCACATTAGAAAAATAAATCGTCCACTTTCAAAGGGCCGGCAGTGTACCACTATTTCTTTTTCTTGAGGTGTATCAGCCGTACATTGTTGGTTACCTAAGCAGGGCGGTCAGGTGGCTTGTATTTATTTACGGAGGATACATGCTCAAATGGAGATTATTACCCGTTTTCCCGTTTACGATGGTGGGTGTAGTGAAAAAATCAAAGCTTAAGATGTAATTTCTGCAGGTCAACGAGTAGCGGAGAGCTTTAAAGACTATTTATGTCAATTTCGACGTATGATGTTAACCCTGAGCGTAGGAAGAGGCGTATAAATAATAACAATAAACATATAAATAAACAAAATCAATTTTTTTTTAAATAAAATATTTTTCCTTACGTTTCGTCAAAACTATAACCTCTCAAGACGATTTCGTCGTTCCCATTGCAATTTCCAAGACCATAACCCGTGTAAGTAGAACACTACAGGACACGAAGTTATTAGTACTGGCCAGAGCAAACTCCACGTAATAAATGTATGCCCTCTCTTGGGCACAGCCAACATAGGTACCACATCCACATTGGGCATGATCCAGGTAGACAAGGCAAAAACCTCGCAACATCAAAAATAACAATTTTTAACCCGGAAATCGTCCGTTGAAAATCGCAATTTTCGCATTTTTAGCAACTTAAATTGTTTATAACTTTAAAACTATCAATTTTAGAGGCATAGTGCATAGGAACTTTTTTGTTTATAATGTGCCAAAAAACCTAAAAAAACAATTTTTACAATATGTTTAAAAAAAGTTTGTTTAAACAAATGGGCACCAGAGAATCGAGTCGGAAAATTTCTCCCACGAATGCGAGGTTTTCGCCTTGTCTAAGGGTTAAACGTGACTACCAAGGATTGGATAAAATTTGATACGTAGCCGAAATGACTACAGAAAAATATCCAACAATTATAAAAAAAATTGACACTTTAATCCAAGGAATTAATAAACACAATGGAAAGTTGTTAACATTTCCTACTAAGACATCAATAAATAAAAATATATTTTTGAGCCGAACTGAAAAATACGTTAACAAATAGTGTTGACTGATTTATTATACATGTCCTTAAAACAAAAATAGTTATTTATTAAAATATCGAACGAGATAAATTTCTTACATTTTAAAGATTTAAGTTCTGGTTCTAAAGGAAAAAGGAATAATGTAAGTTCGTTTAAAAAGAGCTTCTCAGAAATAATATAAAGGACCATACCCTATCTTCAAAAAATGTCGAATGAGCTATGCTTGCCCTTCGAGGGTAATTTCAAGCATGAAGTATGGGCCCATTCGCCTCTTGACACCCTGTATATGTAAAAATCTTTATCAAGAAACTGGTAATTAAATATAAACGTTTCCATGTACCTTAGCGATTTTGCCAAAAAAGTTACCTGACTTTTTCTGGAATTTATGCGTCACTTTCGCATTGCATATACAAAATGTTTTTAATTTTTAATACTTAGTAGTATTCCATTAATCTATAAAAAATAGATTAGCACATCGACAAAGTCGACACTATTTGTTAGCATATTTACCCAGTTCTGTTCAAAAAATATATCTTTATTTATTGATGTAAGCAATGTAAGTAAGAAATGTAAGAAAACACCATTGTTTTTTTTATTAATTCCTTGGATTAAACGTCGAGAATAAATATAAAAAAAATTGTACACAACGGAACAGTTAGTATAGTCACTCAAGATGGAAGTGTGCCCCTTTGTGATAATTTTCGCCATTTTTTCTATCGTCTCGTCCGGACCAGGTATATCAATATTCTGTAAAATACACTTTGCTACGCTGTACAATAGTTTAGTTGCGATATTTATTCAAAAAGAACAAAATACTTAGTATATTTTATTAGGAGTCTGAAAATAAGGATTTTTCCGTGTACGTATGACAAATTCTCGTGGGAAGCACGGAAAAATCTATTTCAGGACGTGTAATGAATCATATTTTTTATTATACTACTTTGAAAACGAAAACATAAAATCAAAATATAACATAAAAAAACATACGAAGGAAACTTGGAACATTTTTATTTTCAGTTATAGGAATAAAAAAACGCGTAAAGTAAGCATATTGAAAATTAACTAACTAACTACTATTAATAATACAATACCAGTTTCAACTAATAATGTTTTTAGTTTGAATTGTCATTAATAATTGTTATATTTATTGTGCAATTCGTATTATTGCACAGGTTTAGTCCTTTTAGAGTTTCATTTTGTGAAACTGCATTTATTGAAACTCCTCGCAATTGTTTTGATTTTCTCGAACGAATGATACATAGTCCAAGCTTTCTGTCGCGGCTTAATATTAAATTTACAGAAATTATTATTAAAATTAAATTTTATATTGAGTTTCTTGTTCTCTAAACTCGATCCAAAATGGCGAACATGGTTAAAAAAAATCGCAAAAAGTTGCAAAAAACGGTTTTTCTAAAATAACTAAAAAAATATAGCACCGATTGAACAATTTTAAATGAGAAAGTTGTAGGTTTTATAAAGATCTATCGACTGATTATTTGTAAGTATCGATTGCTTTGTTACTTTTCGAGATATATCGAAAAAACCGTTAAAAATCTTCTCTTTTCTCTTCTTCTATAACTCGTTTACATTTACGTTCACATACTTGCTATTTACTGCAAGCATAGCCCGCGGAAAGCCAAAAAAGTACATTTTTGAAAAATTTAAAAATATTTATTTAAAGAGATATATCGATTTCTTTAAAAAAAGGCGATCTCGAAAATTGGCTAGATCTTCTCAGCGAATAGCCCTACAGTAACGATTTTCGGTTTATTTTCTTCGTAGAGTTATATTGTCATGCTGTTACAAAATTTTGACGATTTTATTAATTTTAAGGATCAAAAAATGACTGAAAAAGTTGCCCTTTTTTTGGGTATGTTTTTTTCAAATAACTATTTCAATTTTTATTTTATGAAAATGACTTTTAAAGAAAGCAACTGCTGACATTTTTTTACGAATTTGAAAAAAAATATTGTTTTCTTCGACCTTCTGGAGCCGATATTTTTTTTATTAAAAAAAAAATTGAGGATGCAATTAACATTTTACAGCGATGCGCTTGATGGAGGTTAATATTTTCAGAAAAAAAAAAAACTAGGATATGTTTACTTGATTTTTAGTATTAGTAATTGAGTAATAAACTGAAGCACGCAAGCGCTGAGTGCGTCAGCTGGATCGGACGGAGAAGTAGGAGGAAGCGGCGCCAGCTAACTCTGAAAACTGATGATGTTCAATCTAAATGGCTCGCGCTTGTAAAATCTTTGATATCTCGGCTTCTGGACCGCGTACAAAAATTATTTATTTGTACTTAATCCGGGGTAGCTTGACGAGATAAATACGAATATTGTCATTTTCGCTTTAGAAGCAAAATAGTCCCGTAAATGTTTAGTTTTTATTTAACTTACTTTTTTTTTACTTTTATGATACTTCTTCACGAAAATATGGAAGACGAACAAGAAAATGAATCAAAAGACAATCCGACAAAGAAAAGAAGAATTTCATTCGATAAATAATTTTATCAATATAGGATATTTGTTAG